GGCCCCTCGGGGGACGAGGCCCTTTCTGCAGGGCCCGGGGCGCTGGCACCTCCCGCGCTGCCCCTTCGTCCGCCCCTGGTAGCAGCAGCCTGACCCGGGGGGCCCCGGAGGGGTGTCCCGGCCCGCGTGGGTTCTGTCAGCGGTCTGTCGGAAGACCTCATCGCCCGTGATGAGCCGCTGTCAAAAGGCCCAGTCCTCTCTTCACTCCTTCCGCAGAGCCCTGCTTTTCCTGCGTGAACATCATTCTTGCCTTGTAACGATTCAAATAAAAAACATCTTTCACATCAGCGCTGGGCAAACTTCTTTTCACGTGCTGGCGCTTGTGCATCCCATGCTCCAAGGCCTTTTTGACGTAGATAACTCTTATCTAAAGTAGCTCAGGATTATGCTTCAGGAACCAAAACATTAGACATTGCAATCTTGCCTTTTGGGGGGCTGTGGAGTAAACTGTGGCACTCCAGAAGTATGGAAACCCAAAAGCCATTTGTCCAAAGCTAAAAGCGTAGATGCTTACATTTCCATCAGGCATGCGTATCTTTTTATATATTTCTGCTTAGAATGTTTTTAATGGAAAGAATATTAGTCCTATGTTTTGATTCTTTTATTTCATGAATAGTGACAGCATTGCACTTGGAAGTTTCCCATACTTTGTCAGCAAACAGTTATGCGATACGTCTTTCCAAAGGGTCTTAGTGTAATTATTCTTTCAGGTGTCTGGTGGGGTTTTTTTAGAGCAATTAAGGCCATGAAGCATTTCTTTTTTTGACTGTTGGATTGAGCAATACCCACGCTCTTCTGGGCTTTCACCTGATGTTCCTCTCTGTCCTGGCACGACTGTTTTTGTAGCGATATGTTGAACTTGGCTGGGAATTGATCTGGCTGCAGAAGCCTTCTCTCAATAAAAGGGTGGTTTACCCTGATGAAGTTCATGTTAAAATGTCTGCAAGGAGCAGTTGTGGGGACACAGAGCAGGGACTTGGGAGGGGGAAAGAAGCAGCTGGGTGGTTTCTGTGCCGGCATAAGCAGCTCTTCTGTCAAACCTGAAACTCACTTGCAGCACTTGGTTTACTTGAACTGGACAGGACTCATAAGAAAAACACAACATTTGGATTGAAACAACAAGAAACAATGACATTTTGCCCAAGATATTTCTAAATGGTAAAATTATAGAACTCAAGTCTTTCCTGTTTTGGTAGGAAATGTATTTTAAGGACTGTAGCAGCACTCATATAATTGAGGTACTGACCCTGTTTTGGTAGGAAATGTATTTTAAGGACTGTTTGTAGCAGCACTCATGTAATTGAGGTACTGATTCTGGCGACTGTGTGCTGCTGCGCTGCTCAGTTCCCAGTTTATTCACTGGCCTTTCATACCCTGCTGCAGCTGCAGTAATTACCGGTGTGCTCGCACACTGTGGCATAATAACAGTCAATTTTAACTTGAGAGAAAGCATATTGAAATAACTATTTGTTTTCATTGCCTCTTTTCTCCTTAGGTAATTCTAGAAGCTATGGACATACTCTTTAGAATAAGAGGAGGCTTGGATCTTGCATTTCAGCTAGCAACTACTGATGGTGTGTCTGTAAGACTATAATAGATTGCTTAATAAAAGGTTATTTATATAAATGTTAATTAACTAGCTCTGATGTTTATTTTCTTGGTGTTTCATCCGATGTTAAGTGCTTCTTCCCTAACCTGTAAATACGAAGTACAAAAAATGTTATTCTTTATCCCCATTAATTTTCTGACAGTCTTTTTCAATTGTATGTGTTTTGTTTTGATTTGAAGTAAAGTTTAAGTTGCCATTTTTAGGTAATTATATTCACATATTTTTCCTACTTAGGGATATAGTATTGGGATCACTTTTCAGTTTCAATCTAAAGTTGACCCTGAAATTCCAAGCAAACAGAGAATAGTGATGAAAATTAACTCATTATAACAGGATTATATTAATAATACAGTTTTGAGACTGTGGTCCAGTCTCTCTAGAGAAACGGAGAAGATGAACAAGCTAACTAGTTACTCTACTGAATTTGGGTGGGATTGGCTACTGCAGTTCCCTGTGGAATTGGGACTAGACCATACGGTGTGAAGAGGCTCTTCTAGTCCCACATTCTTACAGTATCGTGACATTGACTTCAGAAAGTCTGCTCAAAGCTACAAGTGGCGGTTGAGCTATCATAGGGCAGAGTGCAGAAGGAAGGTGTCTCTAGCTCAGCTGTAGCTCGTTCTGTGTTTTAAAAGGATGTGTCTTTGCTGGAAACTCCGAATTCAGTGCTAGTGAACCTTGAGAAGGAACTTGGGCTCATTTCAGTTCATGAGGTGGAACAGAAAGTGTCAAATAGGTTGGCATTGCACACAGCAACTTTTTGTGAATTGCATCCTCAGAGAAAGGCTATTTATCTGGCTTTTTTTACAGTGTATTTCATTTTAACCACCGTGAAGCAGAGTGAAACTGAGATTGTCCAAGTGCAGCATAATAGTCTACAGAGAAATAGTATGTGAATATGGCAGACCACTCTGCTGTAGGCAGTGAGATTTTTCTTTTGGAGGAGATTTAGCTAATTATGTTGGGGTTTGTTTAATTTTTCTAATACTGTAGCTTTTATAGACTTCTAGTGCAGAAATCAACTAATAGTGGCCAAATTGAAGTTAAGAAATACAGTTCAGCGTAGTCTTTGATAGCTTATAAGGCTTTGTATAGCTTGTTGCATTTTAAGTAATGGCTGTTAATCTCCTCAGTGAGGAAAACAGTGCTGGTAATGTGCAAAAGTTGCCCTGTCATATCCAGTATCTGTTCAGGATGAAACTTAAAAAGTCAAGTCAAGCTCTGAAAGACAGACATCTATACCAGTAATAAAGATTCAGGCTGACCAGGGTGTGGCTTACGGTTACAGGTGTACATTGGCCAAAATTTGGTCTGCAGCTAGCGTATAGGCCCTGCTTTCCCAAAAAATTAGTATGGTTTTGGGTTGTATTTCTGGATAATGCTATGAAGTCAAAAACATGTGACTCTGAATCTTTCCAGTATTTACTCGAAAGACTAAATACAACCATATGTAGAAGTTTGTGCGTAGAAGTTCCTTTGCAACCATAGGCTTGGTTAAGAGTTACCAATGTGAGAATTGACTACTGTGTAGGTTATTCTTCTGTAATTCATTCAGCTCTTCATATTTCACTTTTGTTCAGGCAGGTATGAGTATGAATGTTTGAGACAGACCTGCTAAGTGAACTCTTACCTCATTTTTTGTTTACATAGCCATTTTCATGATCATAACAGCACTTCTGTTTTTATTCCAAGTCAAAGCACGCCAATTTTTTTTAAAACGTATGCCCAGCAGCTATAACAAAAGTGAGGGAATTTTCTAGGCTAATTGTATCCTCATTGTGTTTCAGAGGCGTCAACAAAAAAGGCCTTAGGATATGTTTTCAGTGATCTTGCAAACAAACTGTCCTCAGATGTTCTCGTATTAAGAATTTGCCACAGTTCAGTCTATGTGTGGCCTAACAATGGTACGAACACTGTTCCAGAGCTGACTGATGATTCTGCTTGTAAGGAGATAAGACGATTTATACAGTGAGTATATTTAAAAATAATTATATTTTTTTAATAGATTAATTTCATATTATAGAAATTTATTTTTCTGTTAATACTTCAGGTTTGATCAAGATGATGAGACCAAACGAAAGCTTGGCAAAAAAAAGGATAAAAAGTTACAAGATACGGTATGTGTCTCACCATGCTAATAAATTATATCAGACAACCTGTCATTTAAAAATGTTTAGATCTGCCCTCTGTAGGCTTTGCTGTACACAAATAGACATTGGCGTGACTTAAAAGAATCCTTCTAAAGCCATTGAGACTGGGCGTGAATGCAGAGATCCATCTACAGTCGATCAGCACGTAGAAGTTTGTCTTTAACATTGCTAGCTTTTTTTTAAATGCAATTATTTCATTACTGAGTCTGATAACAAATATATACAATCTTACTCTTGCCTTCTTGGTGCATGTGTTGTTGGAGATGTACTATTGGTGTCTTTATTCTCTTTAGCAGCAGATAGTCAATATAGACCTCATGTTGGAAATGACGTCTTCGTTAGCTGCTTTGGCTCCAGTCATTGAAAGGGAAAATAAGGAGCACCACTACATTAATATGACATTACCCGTTGATGTTGTTGTATCTGTTTCTCCAGAAGAAACATGGGGAAAGTAAGTGTTATCCCAAACTTGTAATTCTTCAGCTTCACTTCTGCTTTTTCTCGAAATAATGAAGTAAAGCTATCATATCGTATCATTAATCAGTTTAATGAAGTAGCACGTAGTATTTTTGTAATGGAATTTAACTGTGTAAGTAATAAAAGCTCCTGTAAACAGCTGTTAGCTTTAATAATCTTGAGACACAATCCTTTTTCTGTCTACAGAAAATTTAGTCTATCAGCGTCTGATAGATTTGATAACTCGTAACCATTGCTTAGTAAGGAATTGAGAGAGTCAGGAAAATGTTCTAAAAATTCTTTAAGTATGTGAGTGTGCATAAAAGTGAGAGTTGGAGTGTATTTGATGAGTCTGTGTAATCTCAGTACTACGTTAGGGGCTGCAGCTGGGTAGGTGAAGGTGGAAAACATTAGAGTCTTGCTCTGTATTTTTTTCCTTGCATTTTTTCCATAGGATTTGAGTCTGAAGGATGCCAAATGGGGTGGATGAAATGCAAAAAAACCCCCCCATATAGTCATATATGTAACTTTTATTTTGGCCAATGCTCATAATGGTTGTGTTTCTGGTAGCAGAGCAGGGTACCTGCACTTCGGAGGGTTGAATCACTTAGGGAGTAGTTTCTGTACGTAGATGTGCTTTGAGTAAAGCACAGCGAGGTTCTGTCTTTCGCTGTGGGAGTGGAAGCATGGAAGTAGTAAGTTCATCAGAGTAGGTGCAAATATGCATCTAAGAACTGTATAACTGTCAGAGCTGTGAGAGAAAATGATCACCATCACTTCTTAAATATTCTCCCTTTTACTTTGCAGGGTACAAAATCTCCTAGTGAAAGCAATTCACAGGCAATTAGCTGACATGGAAAGATGTATCATGAAATATATGAAGGGAACATCAATTGTTGTACCAGAACAATTTCATTTCATGTTACCAGGAAAAAATAATCTTGTAACAATCTCGTATCCTACAGGTATTTCAGATGATCAATTGGAAAGTTACAGAAAGGTAAAGCCAACAAATACTAACAGAACCTGTTTTTTTAAATTTTGTTTTTATTATTATTATTGTAACTGAAGCAGTGGTAAACCTTTTAGTTTAGCCAACATAGAATAAATACTAACAGATACTGCTGTTTCTTTATTTTTATTATAACTGAAGCAGTATACTGAATGTGGAAGCTTGTTTTATTGGAAGTTATTTTATAAAATGTACCAGATCTCATTTTCATAAGGAAACAATAGAAACTTTAAAACTACATAGGATTTGTTTTAGGTAGGTTTTATCTAAATTATACTTCTGGTACTGTGTTCTTTGATTTTCTCCACTTCCATGGTAGAATATCAGATTACTTGTAGCGTGTTATTATTTTCAGGCTTTAACAGGTGTTCTGAAAGGGCTAGGGTTGGGGTTTTTTTTGTTTATTTTGGTTTCTTTCTTTGGGTTATGTGTTGTTGGGTTTTTTGTTTGTTTGCTTGGGGGAGCTGCTTTTTGTGGCTCACAGCTGACCAGCCTTAGCTAGCTTTTGTTTGTTTGTTTTTTGCCTTCTGCCTTGGTGCATCTAGAAAAAAGGAAAAATGTTCTGATGTGGCAGTGCTTTCAGATTGAGATGTGTACCTGGGAGATCCCAGTTCAGGTCACACAGTTTGCACGTACTGAGAGTGAGGAAAGGATCTTCTACTGCCTTAGAGGTGTAGAAGCCGTGGGGATTTTTCTTTTTCTTAGTCCGTGTGAAGCATTACTTGGGTATATGAAACCTCATCTGTTCCTTGCATTTGCAGAGGCCTCGGGCGTTGGTGGCACAGAAGGCTTTCCTGCTCGCTGTCTGCTGTTCACTTTTACCTATTGATTGCTAAGCATTACTGTAGCTAATGTAGTTGGGTCCGGTGTTGGGCCGTCTGCGTAAAATTATTATTTTATTATTATTACCTGTGTTACACACATTATCCTAGACGATCTCATCATTCCTTTCACTCTTAAACCCGGTCAAATAAGACAGTGTATCTCTTTAAATGTGGCTGCTGTTTGTAAACAGTGCTTAAGAGATTTAGAGAGATTTATTTATGTAGTATTTGTATGTCTTCAATACTAGTTAAGATTATAATTCAGAGTGTGTATATCTACGTTACTACACTACTACATAGGTAAAACTAATACTTTTCTGTTACGGTGTATTTTACCATACTTGCGTAAGACACTTGTCACGCATGATGCCCTCGGCAGCAGGTGGTGTGTAACAGGATCTGTGTAAAGTAGTGGGTGGGCCCTTTAGGATAGAAGGTAACCTTCCATGAGCTTCCAATGAGAGGTGAGATCTAGCAGTAAACATACCCGCTGAATAGTAATATGCTAAAATGTGCTTAATTAAATTTACTGAACTCTGCTCTTAGAATTGCTCGTGTCTCTCTTCTTACTTACAAAGTGGTGTTTCTCTTAATCCAAAATTTGAATTGTCCTCTTTATTCTAATTTGCACATAGGAATTACATGGGTTATTCAACCTGCCTTGCGACAGACCATATTTCAAGAGAGCAAATGCTTATCATTTTCCAGATGAACCGTACAAAGATGGATATCTCAGAAATCCACATTTACATCTTAATTCACCTGGTACAGAGTCCGGTATGGTAAGTTTCAATGGAAACATTTGTTAGAAAGGATTTTATATTTTTCTGGAGATTTGTTGTTGAAAGTAATTTAGACAGTCAATATTGTGTAGACGAGAGAGAGAGAGTGAAAGGACAGACTGGGCCTTTTAAGCAAAAGGGCTTCGCTGCACAACATGGCATTCCTTTAGCTACATTTGTCCTAAAGAAATTGCATTTTCTTGGAAAAGAATGTACACATTTTTAGCATGTATTTTAAAAGTTTCTCAAAACCAGGGCAAGAAACTAAAACTACGAACTGAGATGTTCAGGAGACAAAAACAGGGGGAATAATTGTGTGTGAGTAACAAACCTTCAATTCTTCCAAAGATTTGCGATCCCCAGCTGAAAGCTTTTACGGTGCAAGTGACAGAGGCATATGACTTCTCTGAAGATTGATGCAAGTGTGATCAGATTCATTTGTATTATCTCTTTCTGTGCAGGTTTATTTAGTACACGGTGTATATAGTTATCACCACTACATGCAGGATCGGTTCGATGACAGCGGCTGGGGCTGTGCCTATCGGTCTTTGCAGACAATCTGTTCCTGGTTCAAGCACCAAGGTTACATCGATACACCTATACCAACACACAAGGAAATTCAACAGGTACAGAACATTTAAGCAGATTAATTCTTTTATGCATATTTGTCTAGAAAAGTTTGCATAGATTATTTTTCAAATATCTTAAGTCATATGTTTTGTTTGTGTGATATTTTTAATTTATCTCTTAATAATTCAGAGCTACTATAGCTCAGTTTATTTTTAACAAGTTTTATTATAGGAGATCTGTCTCCAAATGTTTATCAGCAGTGGGTGACATTATCTGTACAAATAAGACTCATTAAAATAGTCTTCTAAATATTTCCTTGGATTAATTTTCTGTTAGAAGCTCAGATTATGACATTCTCACTGGTTTTGTCAAAGGAAAGAAAACAAAGAACCCAGTGAGTCATATTGAAACGGCTTTTAAAACTGCCTTTTGTATTCAGTGACAGCTGGATTACTCCCCAGATGCTATGCTTTGATTTACTGCTTTCTTTTGCTTCTTTGCCTGTGACAGTAGTGGGCTTTTCCTGTTTTTTGAACTCTGCTTCATTTCTTTTTCTACTGTGGATTCAAATGCATACCTGAATACGTTTGTCTCTGCTAACGGCACTGAAGGAAAACCGTAGGCTTGGGTAGCTAATATTGTATGCCTAGCAAGAAATACCGCAATTACCTTCTGTCTTCTAAAAATAGTTCTTTGCATTGTATTTATTTACTGAACATTTTTAGCGAAGTGTGATTCAGTCCATAAAACAACTTTCATCATACCTACCAGGGATGTGAAGCACCAAAGTTAAAACTCCATTTCCTGAACATTTCTCAGTCCACACATAAACCTAAAAGCAGTGCTCACCACTCCGGTGTGAAGTCTGCCTGTGGACCTGGGGCTATATTCTGTGCTTATAGGCACTGCCTGTGTTAGCGTCCCAGTCACATTTCCAAAACAAAACCGCAAGGAATGAATTCAGTATCTGTTCGACTGCTTTTGACCAGCTCGGTTCAAAACGTGTTCCCACATATATATATATAAAAACTAACTTTGTTCACCAAAAGTGGTAGAGTTGCCTACTATATGTTGTTGATGTTTATTTTTCTTCTTCATCATGATGTTGCAAAGGCACTGGTTGATGCTGGAGACAAACCTGCAGCATTTGTTGGGTCACGGCAGTGGATCGGTTCAATCGAGGTACAGCTTGTTTTGAATCAGCTTTTTGGAATAACATCAAAAATATTATTTGTCAGGTAAGAATCAGTATCTCTTTATTAGCTCGGTAATTATTAAAAGGACTGAATGCCTTTAAATGCAAATTACCATTAAAATACATGGGATAATAGGGATTATCAAGGAGTTAATAAATCTTTTAAGAGTTCCATGTTCATAAAGCCTGTATCCCTGCCTTTGGTTGTGCTGAGGTAAGTGCTGACAAATGGCGATATTGCTAAACTTCTTGTGGGCTCGGGGTTCCAGTTTTCAGTTGCTGTAAATTGCTGAACAGTACACAAACTGATGTGGGATTCAGCCTATTCCTGCGCACCACAAACATAATTTTTGAAGCAGGCGCACAGCCTGGCGGTCATCATGAACCGAATGCACACTGATAGTAAATTACTACTTCATCCACAGAGCTAACCCATCAGTTCAGGGTTGAGGCAAATTGCTGAGCAGCCTGGAAGTAGCGTTCTCTTTTTCTGGATTTGTGTGACAGATAAGACAATGGGTTTGTTTCCATTCTGACAGTCCAGTGCTTTCATACATGATAAAGACCCCTACAGTTATGTTTGGGAGAAAAAGAATAATGTTCAGGACTTATCAGAAGTAAAATTACTGGATTTTTACCATTTAGGAAGCACTAAGCAGACTATCAAATCCCTGAACATTTTGTGATAAATGCAATAATGAAATAAAGAATATCTACTAATTTAGCGTGTATGAAAATGCTAGTCAAAAAAAATATTACTCATGAGTTATGTTTATTTAGACTAAATTCTACTGTGGATGTTCTAAAAGAGCATGTGACCATGGTGATGGTGATTCTTAACGGTAGGAAAATAGTACAGTTCTTCAATAGTTTGTAAAGCTTTATATAGCCAATTTTAATCATATTTGTTCCAGAGCTTATATTTGCAGATGGTCCACCTATTACTTATAGCAGCTGTGACAGGCCTTGCCAGTATGAAGGTTTTTATTCCTGCACCTAAGAATATCGAACAGATTCCTTTGTGAACTGGGTAGAATCGCTCATTGTGCTGCTACAAGGGAGCACCAGTGTTTTCCAGGATTATGAAAAGCCAACATCACTGCCAGGCTGAGAAGAAGTGTCGTGCATCTTTTTCAGCTGGTCACTGGCAGTGGATAGCATTTTTGTCTTGGGCTTATTTCCAGCTAGCACCTCTTAACTCTTCATGAAAATAAGACTTCACAGCCGCACCAGCAGCGCTAGCACTGAATCCATTATTGTAAACGCACCGTTTCCCAGAGTTCCAGTCTTGTATTCTGTCTGCATCTAGTCCATCTCTCCAGTAACTTGAGAAGCAGGCACACAGGCTTTCTGTGGGGTTTTAAAAGGTTAACCACTATATGAAGAAACGTAAAGATATTAAAAATATCCGTATTAATTTCCATGCCTAGCTTCTGTCACCACTTTTGGGAGTACCGTCAGTTTTCGAAGGGGAATATGAGCCTCTGTCAGACATGTGTCTTCGGCTCTGAATCCTGGAGTACGTACACATACTGTGTGTGCGTGCCTTTCTTGTCCACGTAGGCTTCTCTTGTCCGTGGCTGGTCCCCACAGTTGAAAAGGAAAGCAGGGAGATGATGGCAAGGCTAAGTTCAGTGTTGCTTTGAGCAGTTTACTGATGTTATTTGAGATTCAGGGGTTTTTTTAAAGCCAGCTTGGGTTTGAGTACTGTGATTGCTCGTGCACTGGCAGTGGAAACCTCTCTTAAGAGACGTCATTACAAACACTTTATTTTTGTTATGTTTGTGATGAAGTTCTGTTACTTCAGGGTCCCCCTTGCTGACAGATACAGCTAGTCTGTTTTTCAGCCAGCTGGGGGGAGCTACTGGAGCTGTCCCTGCTGTGGGAGACAAGCCACTGGCACCTTACAGAACCTGGGTGATTCCAGGTGCTCCAGGGGCAGCTGGGCTCACAGCATTTTCATTGCTCCAGCTGGAATCTGTAAGTTGTATTAAACAGTTTTTCCCGGTTGTCCCGGGATGTTTACATGGAAAAACTCTGAGCTGCTTTCTAATCAGTTACCTATGCGGTTAACGAGTATAATGGATAATTAGATAATTAAGCCTCGTGAGGAGGACAAATCTATTGCTGTTTTTCTTACCTAGCCAGGGTTCTGAACTAGCGTTGCAGGGAAGAGAGCTTGCTAATCATTTCAAGACGGAAGGAACTCCAGTTATGATTGGTAAGTGCTCGAGTGTCAAAGGATGCCAATGGAAGTGCATGGCCTCCCTGTGCTGAATTTCATTTCGGTTAGAACTTGTTCAGTTTACTGTACAAGAATTAATCAAAACTCTAGATTAATTAAAAATTGCGCTTTTCCCAAGGGAGCCTGGAAAACAATACAGTTTAGTCTGACTGGTATCTTTTCACTCAGTATTTCTCCCAAGCTCAGTATTAAACTTGGTAACAAAAGCCAATCCTAATGGTGTTCTTAAAAACTGCTGGTAAAGTCAGAATTTGAGAGCTGACTTGTGCTCTCTAGCGGAGCAGAGGTTCATAGAGTGCCCCAAAACTTCCCATCACAGAAGAGTAGTGTTTATCTACCTTTGAAGAGAATAGTATTATCCAAATTCTTTTTAAGACCAGTTTTAATAATCTGAAATGTTGGTAACATAAGAAATGCCACTTGTAACAACGCCGTAACTTTAATTGAGCTATTTCCAAGACAGCTGTGGTTTAGAAAATATTTAGAAAAAAGTATCTTAGAAAAATTTAGAAAAGAACGCTGAAAGTATCATTTCAGCTTTAATAAAATGTTAATTTTGGCAAATTTTGCAATTCATATTTGCATAAATATTGGCATATTTGGCACTCCATAGAGTTACTCTCTCAAACTAGAGGTGCCAGAAGTCCAGATTTCGGTATGAAATACTCTTGGCCTTTCAGCAGCCTTCTTGTCTGAATTTCAAGAATTTAGAATCCTCTACTGAAAAATCTTTTAGCCTGTAACTTACCCTTCCCTGTAATGCTCTCTTGTGGATTGATTTAGTGTTTGGTGTCGTCAGGGGGACAGAAGTTGGCTTTTGGGGGTGAGTTTGGGTTTGTGGGGGGTTTTTTGCCTGTGTTCTCTTGGGATTTTTGCAATTCCTGTCTGTCGTGCAGAGTCGTTACTGTAGCACCCCAAGGACGTAAACTCCTCACGCTATCTGAAAGAAACGCACCGCCATCGACCTGTGGCTAGCGCATTAAAATGTCCCCTTTCCCTCTTTGCAGGCTGGAGAAGGGGCAGTCAGATATTGCTTCTCCGCCCCCAATCTCTGTTGATGGAACTTAATAGAAAACAGCAGATAACCCTTACGCAGAAATTCTGATTTCTGTTCTAATTTTAGTCCTTTCACAACTGGCAAGTTTTCCAGATTCCTTTTCTACAATTAAATTTCCTTAAAGAAAAAGTGAGCGAAACAGATGGTTGAAATGTTCTTGACTTCATCTGGTGGAAGTGCTGCGGATCTAACCCACCTTGATGACTTGGAAGAAATTTGGAAAGTAAATTCTCTAGTTGTAGTAAGTAAAGTGAGAGAAGTGACCTTCCCTGGTTGGTGTAAAGATATGATGTTTCATAATGTGAAGAATCTTAGGCAGGACAGCTGCAGAATCGTTTTGATAACCAAGCTGATCTGTCAATAGGAAGTGTTGATGTACTTTTATTTTAGGCTTGCACATTTAGCCAATCTCAGTGAAAAGTTTTTAGTGATTTGCATTGCTCCTATTTTAGGTGGAGGTGTTTTGGCTCACACGATATTAGGAGTGGCTTGGAATGAGATTACAGGGCACATAAAATATTTGATTCTTGACCCGCATTACACTGGAGGAGAAGATCTGCATGTGATTTTGGAAAAGGTGAGGCTTGATACATATGCATATATATACACACAGACACACATGTGTATGTATACACATATATATTGGCATTAAACAAACAATGTACAGCCAAATACAAACTGGCCATTCTATGGCTTCTCCGTTCCTTACGGAGGAAGTGCTGTTCCCAGTTAACCCGCATATATGCTACTTACTGTTAGTTTCTGAAACTTAGTGTCTTTGGAGAAGATCCAGTGGGTCAGCAACTACATATAGTTATCGGAGTACAAAGAAATGTTCTTTACTTGCTCTGAATGAAACCGTCTCTCCTCTTACCCAGTAGTATATACAATAAATGCCTTGGTATGTTGAATGGAACAGAAAAATCTGTTCAGCCTGTAAAATGCTGTTGCTGAAGCAGAGAAGATAACCATTTATTTAAAATTTTAAAAATTAAAAAAATCCAACACTAGGCATTCTCAGATCAGGCCTTGAACTAAGTTTAAAGGGGAGGTACTGAGCTGCTTTGAAAATCTGGGAAAATTGTTAAAGAACTAAAGGGTATGTAATGTTATTTGTGTATTTAAAACTACTAAAAGGGATGACGTAGCACGTTACAAATAGTGTCAGAAACTTAGAACTGTGAAAGTGGCTAAATCATCCTATAGGTGTTAAGTAGTCCATTTCTTTTCTGTTCTTCCTAAGAGGTTGTGAATAGCAACTTCTATTTCGTATCTTTCTTTAATACCCTTGGGTTGGGTCCAACTAGAAAAGCTGTTGAAGAAACATGTTGCTAGCCCCCTGATGATCAAAGCCTGAAATCAGTACAGAAACAATTTCCGAAGAACATGCAGAACCTGAGCCTGTCACAGCTCCAAGCTGTTCAGGAGGGGTCCAGCGGGATGAAATACATGCAGAAGCCCCTCTTCTCGTCATTGAAAGCGGCAGGGCAGGGGAGGAACTGAGGTGGGCTGTAAGTTTGTAGCTCTTTTCTTCGAGAACACCTCGTATAAGTATGTGGTACTCTGCAAACTTGAGAGCTTTGTTAGACTGTTTTTTCTGCTAAATCATCATCAACAGCACACCTTCTGGTGTTAAAGGCTCTGTTTGGCTTTGAAATGGCAGCTGTTACCAAAGAAGGCAAGGAATTCCTCAAGACAAGAAATGGAAACTGTGACAATGGTAGAGTTTCAGAATACTGTTCGTCTCTCTGTAGCAGCAGAAGGTGGTGGGAAGCGGGGAGGGAGGGAGGAAGATGGAAGATGCTACTTTTTAGGAACTGAGCTGGGGTGGGGAGGGAGGACAGGGGACAGAGAGACTCTGTAAAGTGTTTTCCATTAACGTGTTTCAGGCACGTACAGAACTTTCCGAAAACTGTGCGTCATTGCATTCTATTAAGTTTCAAAAGAATTCATAGAGCTTAGATTAAAATTAGTGAAACAAAACAGATCCAGTAGTAGTAGATAAGAAAACCAGAATGCATAGTAGATTTAAACAGTCTTGCTTTTTCTTGGACAGGGCTGGTGTGGATGGAAGGGCCCGGAGTTTTGGAACAAGGACGCCTATTATAATCTGTGCCTACCTCAACGACCAAATACTATTTAAATTCTGCTCTTACGCTGGAACATGCTAAGCCAGAATATGAGCTGAGCTAGATAGAACTGTCTTGTTATTTATCAGAATAATGCTTTACATCAATCAAAACCCAGTTGAAATAGATGTGTTGAGTAATTTAATTTTTTTTTTTTTAAATGAAACCTCTAAAGATAAGAATTTATCTGCTGTGAACTGTATTTCTTACAAATACATTTATTAAGTAAACAGTACTCCTTTCTTTTGGCTAGGACAACTTTATGTTTATAGAGCAATTTTTATTATGCTAAAACCTTTACAGATTAAATGCTCAATCCTTTTATTTTATGGAATTCTTTCTTGCCAAAAAGGCGAACTGTCCTCTACATTTCTGGTTGCACATAGGCAGCTGTCTTGCGCACTATGAATCCATTCAAAGGCATCATTTGCTGTTGGGTACTGTCGGCAACAGCATTTTAGAAGAGGAGTGGGAGACAAATGGCTATATGTACTGAATTTTAGGAACTTTGTTCTCATATTTACACAGAAAAAGATGTGAGAAAATTAATTGTTATATGCTCATTTATTCATCGCTGTATGAATTCAACTATTCCAGAAAAAAGAAAGTAGTCTTCTGTAAGAAGTAAAAATAAACGAGCTTTCCTCCTTCTCAGAAGGAGACAATGTACCAGTGTAGACATCTGGCTGCTCAGTGCATAGTCCAGTCGTGTTTCTTCAGACTTCGGATTCCCCTTGATTTCTTTCTGGGATTATGAGCTGCTGCTCTTGTCAGCTAGGAGACAACATCTGTCATGCAAGCAAACAAGAGTAAGTCAGTTGGTATCTCATGCAGTCAAAACATTAGGATACACCTCTGCTGTTAGTAAAGATGCTGTCTTTGTGAGCTACTCCCTCACTAGAAGTACCTACCATTTCTTTTTTTTATTTCCCCCATGTTAAAGTAGCCTTTTCAGTGGCATTCCCCATACACTACCCATTTTTTTACAAGACCATAGCCTTAAATACCTATGGAAGTTGATCTGTACTAGCAGGCTTCTAAATCCAACCGCTGTATACTTAACACCAAATACATTTACTTAGATGCCAAAAGCATAAAAGAAAAAATGCTCTGGATTGTAGCAAGCCAATGGTATTACACACCATCTGACCTTCTCCTCTTCCTGCTTATGGATCTGCCGGTTTCACTCGCTTGTTTCTGTGGAGCTGGATCCTCTCTCAGGGAGCCGGGTTTGTCGCTGAGCGAGCAGCCAGGCTGGCCTCTTAGTTTCATTGTCTGAGTGTGCTGCGCTGTCGTGAGGAACTTGGCACATTCCAGAAAGCCGTAAGCCAGCGCGAGGTCTGCTGCTGTTTGTCCACTGTTGTTGCACAGGCTGAAACACGGAATTAACAATAACCATTCGATTAAATTGGAATACATACTGGGAGCAAGCACTGGTCAAGATTAAATCGATGGTAACTTTAGACAGAATTACCAAGAATCAATACCAAGAAGGCTTGTCAGGGGTAGCGCAGGGATCTGCTGACACAGAGGGCTGGTATTAAATGCAACAAGGGATAATTACTTTAAAATAAATTCGTCACCTGACTGTGATGGGCTTAGCCTATCAGAAAGGCAAGAGGAAGGTGAGCACAGCTGTAGTTGGAATGGAAAACTGATGAGGAGAACGTCTGATCGGGAATGTTCTCTTAGCAGCCACCATGGAGGTCTTTAACATGGAACTAAACAACAGCATTCACTCTATGCTACTTTGGTGTTTATGGCAGTTTTTCATTCTGCTCTTACGACTACAGTCGTGCCATATTTAGTCTTGACGTGCACATTCCCAACAGGAAAGAGTACTGTGTTGTCAGCTGACAGTTACTGAACTGACGAAATGTAGCTCAACTTACTCAATTTTGGCATCACCAGCAACAAGGAGAGCAAGACATTCCAAACTCCCAGCTTTTGCTGCTTTGTGAATCGGGGCTTCTCCAAGGCAATCCTAAAAACACAATTTACATATAGCAGTCATTTGAAGGAAGGGGAATGACGCTACTTTGTTCTCCAGCATATGGAGTGTGACTCTCCATACCGCTTCGTTGCGAGTTGAGAGAGAGAGAGGAAGGGAATACAGCTAGTAAAGGGTACTCGGTAACAGCCATTAAATGTTTAGTGTATTCATCACAGCAAAGTAGAAATACTGTGCCGTGCAATACTCATTGCTTAGCCTTTACCTTCTAAAAGATTATTTACACGGCGTACACTCTGTACGCTCCCTACCAGCGTCTTTCAGCACTGGCCAGGGATCCCTGTGACCAACAACTTGCTGCTACCAGCTCGGAGGTATAAGCCAATTAAACTTTGCAGCTAGAGGAAAAATCCTGATGTTGACTAGAAGTAGAGGCAGACTTTCAAAGGAAAGAAAAATACTCATTTGTCTAAGAGAATTAAGGGGGTTTTTTACGTCGCATGCAGCACTGTCAGCGTGAAAATGGCATTATACGTAGCAAATGAAATAGCTAATAGATAGATAGGATTTCTGGTTCATGCTAGAATAAAATTACTCTAAAACAGGCCACCCCAGATACCTCATGCAATACAACTGCACATATAAAACTTCTCTTAGAAAACATGTAAGTAATATAAATTGGATTTACTGATGTGCCAGATTAAAGTGGGAGAAACACAACTTCTGTATTTTTACCTGTTGGTTCAAATTTGCTCCTGTCTGCAGTTGCCAAAGTAGGAGAAAAGCTTCACCACCACAAGCAGCCAAGTGAGCTGGAGACTGACCAAAGGCATCTGCAGGTGCGTTCACACCGGTTCCTGCCTCAAACAAGCGGCTGAAGCTGCCGGACTAAAATACACAAGATACCGGGGGCAGGGAGCGGGGCGGGGGGAAGCACAGGGTTATTGCCAGTCTAAGCCACAGCAAGGCTGAAGAACGCTGCATGGCAGCAGAAAACACCCCCCTCGCAAATCATCGGACCGTTATGTTCCTTGAGACTGCCCTGTTACAAAAAAGCGACCCAAGCATGGCTTCTTTGGGCTCTTCCTCTCTTAACCAGAAACACCGTCCGACATG